TGTTGCCTGCCACGTAACAACACAACAGCAGGATTAGTTCAAATTACTTAAAGAAGTAGGGAACGACCGCAGAGGAGGTTTGAGTCTGCCTTTCCCTCCGAATTTTCGTTAACATCATGGCGGAGATTAGTTAGTTGGGAGCAGAGTAACACTAAAAACTATGGCTGGAGGCAAGAGCAGAGCTCGCTAGGATTAGTGCTTTCGGGGAGGTGAGAGCAAGTGGTAAGGTACTAAAACCTTCTCGCACTTTGACCTCTTAACATTTGGAGTTCGGCCAGCCACATTTTGCCTGCCCTCATTCACTGATGCTCCATACCTATGAAAATTGGAATTGTTTACTGAGCTCCACCAAGATGGAATGGATGAGCTAATTAATCTTAGAAAGATACATTGAATTTTTATTAACTACCCTTAACTTTTAATTTCACTTTATGGCCTAAAAGAAATCACTCTTGATAAGCTTTTCAATTAAAAATATTAAATATTCCTAATTGCAGTGATGCTTTTATTTACTGTTACTGGCTCTTTTATCATTATTGTTAGGCAGGTTTTTTTTTTTTAATAGATATAATGAAAACTTAGCAAACTTGTTATGACCAGTCTACCAGATTAGATTCATAGTTTAGTTGCAGAATTAATTCCAATAGATCGTTTTTCCATTTAAACAATGGCTGTGTGTTGAGACTGTTAGTGATTTAAGAAACTCTGTCAAGAAAAAATAACTGATATTACTTACTAAAGCCATTTTAAATGAAATCATATATTTTTAAATAAGTTAGTGAGATGTTAGTCATCTTCCAAATGGAGTTTTCAATGCAACTAAAAGTAGCCAGGGACGTCCCTGGTAGTCCAGTGGTTAGGACTCCGTGCTCCCAGTGCAGAGGTCCTGGGTTTGACCCCTGGTCAGGGAACTAGATCCTGCATGCCACAATTAAGACCTGATGCAGCCAAATAAATATTAAAAAAAAATTTAGCCAAAAGTCTGAATGACTGTTCAGTTAGCAAAGCTGAGTTGTATGTTTTGGCTCTATCACTTTCCAGAAAACTGCAATTATTCAGCCCAACATTGGTTATGGTTGGTGCCAAAGGTGAGTCACCTCTTCTTGAGTTGCGTTAGTAGCCACCTTTGGACCTGGCGTGTCACTAGCACTTCATTTACCTCTTTGTCACTTTCCTGATCCAAGCCAGATCTCTGTAGAGAACACCCAAAGCATTTGTGTCTTTCTGGAGAACAATAGCAGGAGAACTGGAGGTCCCTGCAGGGACCAACCACATCCTCGAGTCAGCTGACCGCCTTCTGCATTTTTTCCTGTTGGGTTTTGCCTTTAAGCATAATTGTTACTTGAGTAGGGTTTTTTATATCTTTGAATTCGGCCTGTTAGCACAAATAATTCCTACTAATTATGATGCTAGTTTAGGGACCCAAAACAAAGCCAGAATTTCCACTCTCACATCCTTCCTTCGTGGCTGATCTTGAAGGCTGATAGAGGTAAAAAGTGTCAGAAACATCTCATAATTATCTTTCCAAGAGTTCTGTAATGGAGCATAGGTTACAGTGGTAGAAGTGAAAAAAAAAAAAGAAAGCAATACTGTTTCACTTTGAGAACTGAGCCCATATGATGGCAGAAAGGTCCAGTGTCTGGCCAAGTCCTTTTTATTCATTGTCTTGAGTTCATCTCCTTCTGAAGTACCTTTAACTGGGGTGCTTCCTTTTTTCTCCCCCAACATTTCAGTAGTGGGAGAATCACTCTGGAGTGGCCAAGGATATAAAATTTATTGTTATTCTTGTTGTTTAGCTGCTCAGTTGTGTCCAACTCTTTGTGACCCCGTGGACTGTAGCCCACCAGGCTCCTCTGTCCATGAGATTTCCCAGGGAAGAACACTGGAATGGGTTGCCATTTCCATCTCCAGGGGATCTTCCCAACCCAGGGATCGAACTTGGGTCTCCTGCATTGGCCGGCGGATTCTTTACTGCTGAGCCACCTGGGAAGCCCTGTGAGATTTATTGGAAAGACACGAATTGCCTTGTCCCTGGGGGGCAGTGTGTGTTGCTAGACCCTGAACCAGATTCTGCTTCTGGCAAGAGAATGGATATGTACTGCCGGAGAAGAAGAATCTAGTGAGTGATGTCAGTGGAGTGTTTCCCTAGAGATCTGCGGGGGTCAGAAAGAGGGGGGGCGCAGTGCTGTACCCAGTTTATCATCCAAGCAGAGCCCGTTCTGTCCCAGAGCGATTTGAGATACTCTGTGTCCCTGTCCCTGGTCGGCAAGACTATGAGATTTCTCAAGGTCAAGATGACGGTTAAGGGAGATGGATGAATGAAATGTCTCCGTTTTTCATTCTCCTATAGAGTTAGCAATATGGCTGAGGCGCTGTGTAAGAATGGTGAGCATCCTTTCAAAGGTTCTCACTTGAGATATTTGAATATATGAGACAGTAAGAGTTATTGCCTCTGTTCAGATTCGGGAGTAACACTGTGTGTGGGAGTGCCAGCTGGGAAAAATTACCCGGGAAGCTAGCAGAGCCCCGAGTGTGCCTTGGGGAAGAGGTGACACCTCTGTTATTTGTCCTTGGACCCACACCGCACAGCTGAGGGGCTGACTTCAAATTAGCTGCTTGGTTTTCCTAAGGGCCAGAGTACTACTGTGTCAGCTGCCAAACAAGGAAGACAAATCTAAAGTATGGAAGCAAATTTATCCTCAAATCGAGTAAGTTGTCTTCAGAACAGCCAGGCGTGAACTTAATCCCGTGAACACAGCATGAAGCTTTACATCCCCTGAGAAGTTCCAAAGTGTTGACCTCGCTGTTCCAACACCCGATTAAGACGTCCCAGCGCACACAGAACTGCAGCTTCCAGACAGATAATTGAAGTCAAAGGAGAAAACATTAATGAAACAAAGTGTGTGAATCAGCGTGTGGTTCATGGTAACACAAACGCGCCTACAGTGACGCGCTCAGAGTTCATCCTCGTCAGCTCTTCTGTGTCTTTTGCCCCCTTGTTTCCTGATGCTGAGCATCTGACCACATTCTGAAATATAAAGTGCTGGGCTTCCCCTGTGGCTCAGTGGTAAAGACGTCACCTGCCAGCACAGGAGACGCGGGTTCGATGGCTGGTCTGGGAAGATCCACCTGCCACGTGACAGCTGCGCCTGTGCTCTGGAGGCCGGGAGCGGAGACTGCTGAGTCCACACGCCACTGCTGCGGCAGCCTGCACGCGCGGAAGCCAGCGCTCCGCGACAGGAGAAGCCGCCACAGTGAGAAGCCCGAGCACCGCAACCAGAGGAGAGCCCGTTCAGCGACGGAGACCCAGCGTGGTCCCAAATAAGCAAACACAGAAAAAAAATATCAGGTGCTGAGAGAGCTCCCCCAGAAAGTGGCTTTCTCTAAGTAAACAGGATCTGAATCACTTAGGGCTTATTGATTTTATGATCGGTACTTAGGTTGCTGCTAAAAGCAAATAGGTTTCCAATACATGTTGGCAACCTAAGAGGGCTTTCTACCTCCATCCATCTTCAGGAGCAGCAAAGAGCTTACTTTGCAGGCGATTACTAATAAAGATGCAAGGTGATCATCAGGGTCCCTCATCTGGGGAGTAGTAGCTTAATCTAACAGAAAATACCATTTTAAAAACTGGGTTGGAAAAGAAGAGTGACTATCAAAGGACTAAAGAGGATGTACAGCTTTGGAAAGATTTGCATCTTCTCTCCATTACTGGTTTCTGTGCTGGTAGTGTGGGCGGAGGTTTATTTCTTTACTGGGTGGGACTGATGTTCAGAGTGCTTTGGTGCGATGACCATTTTTATGGCTCACCATAAGTTCTAGAAAAGTAAATTACTCCATCACCTGATGGGCATTGTTCTTGTATCATGCAACAAAATCTCTTTCATGGGAGTTTACAAGACAAGTCAATCCTAAAGGAAATCAGTCCTGAATATTCATTGGAAGGACTGATGCTGAAGCTCCAATACTTTGGCCACCTGATGCAAAGAGCTAACTCATTAGAAAAGACCCTGATGCTGGGAAGGATTGAAGGCAGAAGGAGAAGGGGATGACAGAGGACGAGATGGTTGGATGGCATCACTGACTCGATGGACATGAGTTTGAGCAAGCTCCGAGAGTTGGTGATGGACAGGGAAGCCTGGCCTCCTGGAGTCCATGGGGTCAGACATGACTGAGTCAAACAGGACTGAGCAACTGAGTGTCTATGAGACAAGTTGAAAGAACAATCAGATTTGTTCATTCAGAGATCTGTGTGGGAACTTGTGACTCCTTGGTTTGGGCTTAACTAGAACTCATTTTTAGTATCTGTTAAAAATGAGAGGCTTGATAATATGCTGTTCTGGAGTGTTTCTTTCCTGAATGGTATGTTAGCAGAGGAGAAGAAACCTGAACAGTATTAGAGTGGTTCCTGGGTTTCCATCGAGAATCTGAAGTGAAAGAAGGTGTCTTGAGACTTACACAGTGGTCCAGTAGTTAAGGCTTTGCACTTCCACTTCCGGGGGTGTGGGTTCGATCCCTGGTGGGGGAGCTAAAATCCCACATGCCATGTGATGTGGCCAGTCAATTTTTTTTAAAGTTTAAAAATAATTTTAATTTGAAATTTAAGATTTTTAAACTTAAATAAAAACAGTCCTTTGGGGGGAAAAGTGTATCTTGAGGAACAAGAGCAGAAAGGGCCTAAGGAGCAGAGCAGGAGGAGCATTTCAGAAAATTCCGTATTATATCCATGTTTTGTGAGATGCAGTGATACAGGAGAAAGAGTATTAGGAGACTGTAAATTGTAACTGAAGGGGATATCCAAGTGGGAAGTATTATTAGGGAGATCAATTCTGTAAAGAAGAATAGTATTATGCTGTTAACAGTGTTATGCTCAGGTAATCAGATTTCTCATGTCTTATCAAGAATAAAGCTTTAGAAATGTGTAACAGTCTTCTCTTCAGTATCTTTAAATTTTTAAACAATTGATTGATAGTCAGAATGACCGATTTTGTCCTTAATAGGGCCGGTGGGAAAGTCAACAGGACGTATCGCAAACTGCAGTTTCCAAAGGAATCGCTCCAGCTGCCCCAGCACTCCGTGGTTCTCCCCAGAGTAACCATTCTCCTGATCCAGGTCAGTTATCTTTTTGTGTTTCAGTCACTCTCGTAAAATATGAGTATCTTTCAGAAATAGTTTACATTAAAAAAAAATCATTTAAATCAGGATTTTCTACCAAGTCCTACTAGTTAATGCCTGTTTGAATTTTCCCCTTTTTTTCCTGTACTTTTACTGACGGACTTATCTTTGGCTGTGCTGGGTCTTCGTGGCTTTTCTCTAGTTGCAGCGCGTGAGAGCCCCTCTCTAGTTGTGTGCTCGGGTTTCTCACTGCAGCGGCTTCTCTTGCTGTGGACCACAGGCTCTGCACCGCACCAGCTTCAGTAGCTGCCGGTCCCGGGCCCCCGGGCACAGGCTCAGTAGTTGTGTCACACAAGCCTTGTTACACCGAGGCATGTGGGATCTTCCTCGCTCGAGGATCAAACCCGCGTCTCTCCTGCATTGACAAGTGGGTTCTTTACACTGAGCCAGCAGGGAAGCCCCTCCGTTTCTTATGATATGTTGAGTCACATTGTTTTGATTGTTGGCTTTATCTTGCATTCCTGTGAGAAATGATGTGTTGATTATGATGTGTTGTCCTTCATATTTGTTTGATTCTGTTTGCTAATATTTTGTTGAGAGTTTAGTGTATGTGTCCTACGGTGAATATATATACCTTTCTTATAACAACGTCTTTGCTTAGGTTTTGTATCATGATTATATTGATTTCATAAAGTGATGAGAAAGATTGAGGGCGGGAGGAGAAAGAGGCGACCGATGATGAGATGGTTGGATGGCATCACTGACTCAATGGACATGAGTTTGAGCAAATTCCAGGAGATAGTGAGGGACAGGGCTGGATGCTGAAGTCCACGGGGTTACAAGGAGGTGGACACGACTTAGCAACTGAACAACAAAATGATGAGAAAAATTTCATCATCTTTTATGACGAAGTCCCTGAACTTACGTGAACTTGGTCTTACTACTTCCTTAAACGTTTGGTAAGATTCACCAGTGACGCTCTCTGGGTCTGGAATTTTCACTGTGGGAAGATTTGAGATCATGACTTCAGTTTCTTAAAAGTTTAACTTTTTCTATGTCTTTGTAAGTAAGTTTTCAAAGATTATGTTTTTTAGAGAAGTTTCTGTTTCATCAGATTACTTAATTTTCATAAATGTTACAGTTTGCTTTATTGGTCTTTTAATGTTTATAGAATCTGTAAGGTTCCTTATTTTTATTCTGAATAGATAATTTTTATTTTCTGTTTTTCTTTAATATAGTTGAGACTGGTTTATAAGTTTTCTTAATCTTCCCACAGAGCCAAATTTGATTCTATTTTCTGTTTTGTTGATGTCTGTTATTTCTTCATTCCACAAATTTGGGCATGATGTGCTTTTATTATCATTATATTCCAGATATTCTAATTTTTCTGTGATTTATTCTTTCACCTATGAGTTACTGGGTAGTATGTTAATTCAATTTTTATATATCTTGAGGGTATATTATTATTATTGCTTTCCTTTTAAATTCCACAATGTTCAGAAAAAAGACTCTTCAAAATTTCAATCTTTTAAAATTTTTTGAGACTATATTCCATCTTGGTGAACATTCTATGTATACTTGGAAAGGTCTCTTCTATTTTGGGGCACAGTGTCCTGTGTATGTCAGTTAGGTCAAGGTGGTTGATGTCCTTGTTCAAATCTGCTGTAACGTTACTGACTTTCCCCCCCATATTTGTTCTATCAATCATTGAGAAAAGGCATTGAATATATATGATTGTGAAATTGTCTGTTTTTTCCTATAATTATATCAGTTTCTGCATGATTAATTTAGAATCTCTGTTATTGAGTATACACACATTGGGTTGTTTTTTTTGCTGATAAAGTGATGTTTCTCATTATGAATTGTCCCTTTACTTTTCTGGTAATAGTCTGACTTTGAAATCTGTGCTTGATGTTAGTTTTGCCACACCAGTTTTCTTTTGCAGATTGCTTGCATGGTGTATCTTTTCCTCAGTCTTTATAATTTTAACCTATGTGTATCTGTAGAGTGATTATGCATATTTAGGTATAGAGTTTCTTTTTTAATCTTGTCTGACAATTTCTGCTTTTTAATTGCAATGTTTAGTTCTTTTACATATAATATTATGTCTGCCATGTTGCTGTTGGTTTCTGTTTGGCCTTTTTATTTATTTCCACTATAATCTTTTTTGTTTTGTGTTAATTTAAAAATATTTTGTAGTATTTTATTTTATCTTTGGCTTTTTTAATACCTGTATTTATTTATTAGGGCTTCTCTGGTGGCTTAGTGGTAAAAAATCTGCCTGCCAATGCAGGAGACATGGGTTCAGTCCCTGGGTTGGGAAGATACCCTGGAGGAGGAAAGGGCCACCCACTCCAGTATTTTTGCCTGGGAAATCCCATGGACAGAGGAGCCTAGCAGGCTACAGTCCATGGGGTCGCAAAGAGTCAGATGTGCAAAGAGACTTAGTAACTGAAAACAACAAACAATGTTTATTTATTAATGTCTTTGTTAAAGAATTCTAGTAGGTGTCCTTAACTTCACCACAGTCTTCTTAAGAGTTAATAACCTATCATTTCACACTGCATAATTAAGAGTCTTGCAACAGAATAGTTCCCTTTCCCTGTTCCCCCACCCCCCTTATTTTACATTATGGTTGTATCTTTCGCTTTTACAGATGCTATGGACTCACCTTACCTAATTTTTTTTTGGCTTTAAAACAGCTATTTGTCTTTTAAGGAAATTAAGAGACTGTAGATAATCTTTTATAGTTTCCTTCCTGTTTATTATTTCTGTCACTATCTACTCCTTCCTGAAGATCGTATATTCATCTGATACTGTTTCTCTTTAGCCTGATGAATATCTTGTATTATTTCTTATTGTACAGTTTTCCTTAAGAAGGAAGATCTCTCCTTTTGAGAATGTCTCTTATTTCATTTTTTTTTTGACAGATATTTTCACTGGATAGAGAATTCTTAGTTGATAACTTGTCTTCTTTTAGCACTTCAAAGACACTGCATCATCTTTTAGACCTCTTTTCTGATGAGAACTCAGCCATCATTTATGTCACTTTCCCCCTACGTGAAATATGTCTTTGTTTACATAGTTTTCTTTCCAATTTTTCTCTTTATTTTTCTTCTCAGCGGTCGGGTAATGATGTTCTTAGGTGTAGTATTTTTAGTGTTTATCTTGCTTGGATTTCACCAGTGTCCGTGGGTCTCTACATTGAGATTTCCCCAACAATTTGGTGAAATACTCAGCTGCTAGTTCATTACATTTCTTCCTCTGTCCTTTTCTCTCTTTCTACTCCGTCTGAGAATCTAATTGCACACGTTATATTGTTTAATATTGTCCTACGGGTCGCAGAAACTCTGTTCTATTTTTCGTCTTTTTATCTTAATTGTGTTTCTTCTGATTGGATAATTTCTACTGCCATTTATAGTCTTCTATTAAGCACAACCAAGAATTTTAAAATTTCAGTTATTATTCTTTTTAGTTTTAGAATTTCCATTTGCTTCTTTTTAAAATAGTTTTAACTTCTCTGCTGATTATTTCTTTCCTTTTTATATATTAAGGCCATATTACTCTTTCTGTCCTTGTACCTTTGTATAAAAAGTGCTTTTAAAATCCTTATCTGCTCAATCTAGCATCAGGACCAATCTCATGATCTGTTTCTGGCTGCATTTTTCTTGACTATGAGTCATACCTAATGAGTTTTGACAGATTTATTTACTCATGTAACTTATACCACAGTCAAGCTGTAGAAGATTATATGACTCCAGTTACTTGCCACAGTCGGTCAGTGTTCAGATCTCACTATTTTGCCTGTTCTTCGGTTTCCTTAAATGGAATCATATTGTATGTACTCTTTTGTGTTGGGCTTGTTTCGCTCAGTGTATCTGTTGAAGTCATTCATACCTTTGCACGTATCAGCAGTTTATTCCTTTTACTGTTGAGAGAGACCACTATCACAGTGGAATTTATCACAGTTTTAACCGGCTCTCCTGTTTATCCACATTTGGTTTGTTCCCACTTTTTGGTTACTGTGACTTGTTTGTGTATCAGTGTTTTAGTAACGTTTCTGTGCAGCAAATACCGGAGGGTGAAATTATTTGGTCATAGAGTACTACTTTGTTTTAAAATTCCATGAATTAAAAAAAATTCTAATGAGCTTTGTTCTGCTCATCGTTACTTCTTACTCCTCTTCCTGCATGCTTCTGAGTTTAGTTTCTTTTTTAGTCATCATATATCCATCACTAGTGATCTTTTTTTTTAGTGACAGATTCTTTCTTTTGTATGTTTAAAGTTTTTATTTTGCTCTCACTTTGAAGAATCCTTCTACTGTGGAAAATATCAGGTATATAAAGTAGAAAGAGTGACATGTGGTGCCCTCGAGTGCCCCGTGCTGATTTCAGGATGATCAGAGCATCACTAGGCTTCCTTATCTGTGCTCCCACTACATCTCCACAGCTGCTCAGGGTGACTTTGAAGCAAATCTCATACACTGTCTCATCTGTAAATGTTTGTACATATATCTCTAAAGGAATACCCACAGCGATGTTTCAAGAAGAAAAATTAAAAATAATCACAAAATATGATTAAACATCTAGCCAGTGTTTAGAGTTCTCCAGTTGAATCAAGAGCATCTCTTAGTTATTTGGAACGAAAATTCAAGTTAAGTTCACACATTCTGGTTAGTAGATACGTCCTGGGGCTTCCGTGGTGGCTCAGATGGTAAGGAATCCACCTGTAGTGCTGGAGACCCAGGTTCGATCCCTGGGTTAAGAAGATCCCCTGGAGAAGAGAATGGCTGCTGACTCCAATATCCTTGCCTGGAAAATTCCACAGACAGAGAAGCCTGATGGGCTACAATGATGTTGCAAAGAGTTGGACATGACTGAGCCGACTCACCTACACACACACACTTCTGTTTAGTCAGTATGTGTTTCTTCATCTTTTTTCCCTGTTGCGTTTGTATTTGGTGACGAGACCAGGTTTTGTGCCGTAGACTCTGTATATTTTTATTTTTGCCATCCTAACCAAGTTATTTAAGCATAATTGCCTGCCCAGTGTATTTCCTGTAAATTGGTGGTTAGATCTGAAGCCGTGGTCAGATTCAGGCTAGTTTGAGGCAGGGGCAGAAGGTGGGATAAATAAATGAGTAGTTTTATGTGCTTCCCTTAGGAGACTCATCGTGTCGGATTGTCTCTCCTTTTGTGACCAGCCTTTGCTTGATCACTGACTAGCTATGCATTTGACTGGGGGTCATCCTCACTCTGGGCTTCGCTGGCGGCTCAGTGGTAAGGACCCCACCTGCCAGTGCAGGAGACGTGGGTTCAGTCCCTGGGCCGGGGAGATGCCCTGGAGGGGGAGATGGCAGCCCACTCCAGTACTCTTGCCTGGAGAGTCCCGTGGACAGAGGAGCCTGGTGGGCTGCAATCCATGGGGTTGTGAAGAGTCAGACAGGACTGAGTGACCAAACAATGATAGCAGCGTCTCACTCTGGGATGTTAGTTTAACTGCATGTAAAACTTTGGATTGTCTGTAATTTTTTTCCTTTGGCATTTAGGTGATTCTGTCTTCTGGCTGTTTATTCCTCTTAAGTTTTTTTTATGTTGGGATCTCTCTTTTTTTTCTGTGGCCATGCCATGCAGCTTGCAGGATCTTAGTTCCCCAACCTGGGGCGCTCAGCAGTGGAAGTGTGGAGCCTAACCACTGGCCTGCCAGGGAATTTCCTGACTCCTGTTTTTTGTTTCTTTCATCCCTGTTTTTGCTTTCTTATAAAGTGTTTGCACTAGTGGTAAAGAATCCACCCGCCAGTGTCGGAGACACAAAAGGTACAGCTTCAATCCCTGGGTCAGGAAGATCCCCCAGAGAAGGGAGTGGCCACTGACTCCAGTGTTTTGCCTGGGAAATGCCATGGACAGAGGAACCTGGCAGGCTGCCGTCCATGAGGTCACAAAGAGTTGGCATGGTTGAGCACACACACACATAAATTGTTTGACATTTTTGAACTCAGTTTTGATATTTCTCATGGCAGATAGCTATCTCTTTGGTTTATATTTTTAGTGACTGTGCTCATGATTGCAAAATAACCTTATGTAACTTTTCATAGTTTACTTAGAGATAAGATACTCAATTAAGGAAAACGTGAAACCTTCTGACTGTACAGGTTCATGTACCAGCTGTGTTGCTGATGAACTTGCCTCATCTCAGGCCTTTGGGGAGTGGAGGTAGGGGCGGTCGTGTGCTTCTCTTAAGGCAGCCTCTCATATAGATGCCTCAGGTTGACTGGCTTCTTTTTAAAGTGTTAATTAGGGTACAGTTTTTTTTAATCACTTATGTCTTGGATTAGATTTTCCTGAAAATTTAGTTTTATTCACTAAGGGACAGAAGAAGTCTCCTAATATCACAGGCGTCATCTGTGTGTCTGACCCTAGCCTTTGGTATTAAGAGCAGGTAGGAACAGGGTTGGTTCAGGACATGTCCCTCACTTATAAATACAACCCAAACACTACTGTCTTCTTGAAAGGTCAGTTTCATCATCTTCATTCAGTAAATAGCATGAAAAATTAAAGTTGGATAAGATACCGTCCTTGACTTTATGAAGAGGTTAAAGTCTAGATGGAGAACTAATGTGTGTGTCACTGGCTATATGATTTAAAAGTAAAAAGTCCCATTTCATTCTAGGGCCTAAGTTAGTGCTTGATCAGTTAATGACAAGGCCTGGCTTGGGTGACCCTTTGGATTTAATAGGAACGCTGGATATTAGAGCATTTTAGAAATACCCCCAACTGCTTCTGTTTAATTGGAAAAGGAAACATCATTGTTTCTGAGGGTAACTATAGGTCCCCTGGAGGAGGAAATGGCAGCCCACTCCAGTACTCTGGCCTGGGAAATCCCATGGACAGAGGAGCCTGGTGGGCTATGGTCCATGGAGTCGCAGAGTCGGACAGGACTGAGTGAGCACACAATACATGTAGTACTGTTATGTCTTTTTAGTATTAATTTTTCCAGTATACCTTTTAAAATCTTTATTGTTTGTTTTGCTTACAATGCTTGGCCAGTTTACAGTAAGGAGAGCATCTCTGTAATCACTTTTGCCTTATCTCTTTTCCTTTCAATATCTTCGGCAGGACTCAGTAGCCTCGCGGCCTCCTACTTGAACCCGGTGAAATCTTTGGTGCCGCAGATGCCGAAGCTGCTGAAGTCTCTTTTCCCGGTCCGTGACGAGAAAAGGGGCAAACAGCTGTCTCCCCTCGCGCATCAGGTAAAAGCATCGCGGAAGCACTGTGCACGTGCTCCTGACAGGCCGCTGGCCCAGCCTTGCCCCGTGCTGCGCTGAAGCTGGGGGGCAGAGGGGAGCAGCTGTGGGGGTGTCAGAGCTGGGCTTTCAGACCTGCTGAAAGCTCTGATAGTTTCTCTTCCCACTCTCGTCGAAGAGAACAGAGCTGTTTAAACGTATTGACACTCTCAATCCTTTTTGCTTTTAAAAAATGCCAAGTACGCTCCTAATGTGATTTATGGTAATATCACTTAGAGCAACAATAGTGAAATTTATGAAGTGCACTTAGCGTTGTTTGTGTATTGCCAAACAGAAAATGTAATTCTATTTTTAATTCTTGATTTCATTTCTTATTTCAAACAATTTTACATCATCCCCGTCCTTGCCGCTCAACCTCTTTTTCCTCTACTGTGGTTTACCTGTTCTTTCACTTAAATATCAAAAGGGATCACTTGTCTTAGGCCCCCTTTTTCTTGAAACTCTCTACCCAGCCTTAGAAGAAGTTTCAGAGAAGATGTGAAAGGGTTTTCCAGATCATCAGGAGACTGCGTGTATGTGATGGTGCATGGGAAGCCTGTTGGAAATGCAGTTTCTAGCCTTCTCTAGGTGTGAATTCAGCAGAAAATGATAAATGAGGATTTATTTATACTCATTCAAAAACACATACAGTGCAAGTTCAGTTGTTGAAATAGGTCTTTTGACATCAGCTTCTCCACATTGACTGAAACATTCAAGTCGCAAAGTGCAGGCGAGTCCTTGCCTGAGACCTTAACTCTTTAAAAGAATTTTCTAAGTTCATGAGTGTATATTCAAGGTAATAGTTTTGTAAGGCTGCTGTGCAGGTATTTTTTTCAAGCTAGCAGTATATGAGCTTATTTTATCAGCATAGATTCATATTGGATGAAAAAAATTAAACTGAGATTTTGGAAATGTTTAAATTTGACTGGGCATATAAAGGGTGCTTGACTGTTATCAGGATGAATCTGAGATGGTGAAAGCTAAAAGAAATAGCCAACCTGATACTTGGTGGGGGTTAGGGTAGGCAAAAAGGATTTCCCAGGGTTCGTTACTGCGCACCTTACTCTGTTCTGAACCGCTGTGTTGCTGTTTCACAAAGTATGATTCATGGACTGTTTGTGCCAGAATTTCCATGGTAGCTTTTTAAAAAGGTAACTTAAAACTATGGCCTGATCTTAGAACCCATTCCTCACCTTGGGGCACCTGATAATCTGCATTTATAAGTACACAATGGAGAAGGAAATGGCAACCCACTTCAGTATTCTTGCCCGGAGAATCCCCATGGACAGAGGAGCCTGGTGGGCGACAGTCCATGGGGTTACAGAGAGACGGGGACAGCTTAGCAACTAAACAACATATGTCAGTCCAGTTCAGTCGCTCAGTCGTGTCCGACTCTTTGCGACCCCATGAACCACAGCACGCCAGGCCTCCCTGTCCATCACCAACTCCCGGAGTCCACCCAAACCCATGTCCATTGAGTCGGTGATGTCATCCAACCATCTCATCCTCTGTCCACAAGGTGATTTTCAGGGCTTCCCAGGTGGCACTAGTGGTAAAGAATCCATCTGCCAATGCAGAAGATGTGGGTTTGATCCCTGTGTTGGGAAGATGCCCTGGCGTAGGAAGTGGCAACCCTCTCCAGTATTCTTGCCTGGAAAATCCCATGGACAGAGGAGCCTGGTGGGCTACAGTCCAGTCCATAGGGTTGCAAAGAGCCAGACATGACAGCACACACAAACGCAGTAAGGTGATTTTCATTTACATTTAAGTTTGATATCCACTGTTTTTCAATTCCTGTTTGATGAAGATGGAAGTTACATAAGCTAAAAGAAATTGAAATCGCATTAGAAGTCAGTGACTCAGATGACCAGAGTTACAATTATTCTTTTAAAGCTGTTTCAAGGTTTTGATATAAGTCAGAGCACCTGCTACCATAAGAAGTAACCTGTCCTCTCTTGCCAGTGAGTCATTGGTTCTTCCGGATATGAGAGGAAGAGCAGTGGTTTAGAAAGCAGTCTAGTGGTTGGTAGAAACTGCACTGTGCAGTGTCCAGGTTAAGAGAGGTAACCTTGAAATACTTTGAAGATACCTTAAGTAATATTCTTTCTGTTTACTTTATTTGAGCATATATGTGCAAAGGACTTCCCAGGTGTTGTTAGTGGTAAAGAACCCCCCTGCCAGTGCAGGAGATATAAAAGACCCGAGTTCAAGCCCCGGGTCAGGAAGAGCCCCTGGAGGAGGGCTTGGCAGCCCCCTCCAGTGTCCTTGCCTGGAGAGTCCCATGGACAGAGGAGCCTGGCGGGCTACAGCCCTCGGGGTCGCCGAGAGTCGGACATGACTGGAGCAACTTGGCACGCACATGCAAAGGTGTTGGAGAAAGTGGCCCCCAGTGCTTCGCATTTCATAAATAAATGAAAACATAAATACAAAGTAGCCTTAATGAAGGTGCCCAGTGGTGGATCTGAACTGTTCCCAGTTGGTTTATGAAACCACAGTCCCTTGAGGACCATTTCTCAAGGTCACCAGAGCCGCGTCTCTGCCCACACTGCTCCGTCCTCCTGTGACTTGACATCGTGCAGGAAACATTTTCATCTCTGGGCTCAGCACTGAGCTGTGCGCTGGGCTTCCCTTGTTGACTGTTCCGGGACTGTTTGTTATGTCAGGCTGCTAGCATTCAGGGGTTCCAGAGCGCCCTCCTGGGTGACCTCGTCCAACTCTGTGGCTTATACTGTTTATGCACTTCTGATGCTCACATTTCTGTCTCCAGCCCAGGCTTCGCCCCGAGCTCTGGCCTCGTGGAGCTAACTGCCCGTTCAGCTTTTCCACTTACAAGTCAATTAGACATTCACATTTTACAAGTTCATGTCATTGCTGTCGGTTTCAGCTCACAAGTCTGTTTACTTCCAGCATACAGAACACTTCTGAAATATTAATATATGCCCATCTCAGCGTATAGCACAGATGTCCACCTCGTTGCTTCACCTCACAAATAGACCATCAGTAAATTTTATAGGTACCACTTTCAGTGTGATGACTCCATTTCTCATCACTCATCCAAGCCATCATCTCTGGCCCTGATTGTACAGCAGGCTACCAGCTTATCAGCTGATGCTTTTTGCCTGACTAAGTCTGTTACTCACAGAGAAGCCAGAGCGAGCTCCCAAGGCCTTATATTAGTTCATGGCTTGAAACCTTCCATTGCTTCTCACTGAAACTGAATAAAATCTAAATTCCTTACTGTGGTTTACAGTGTCCTATGTGATCTATCCCCCTGACCTTTCATCTTTATTCCCTTTATTTTCTTCTTTGTGCACCATGCTAAGCTGCATTGATTGGCCTTTTTGTTGTTGTTGATCTCATGAATACATGAAGCTCCTTTTGGTCTCAAGAGTTTTCTTACTTGCATTTCCTTCTACTTGGAATGCTCCTCACCAAAGTCTTTGTATGGTTAGTAAGTCTCTAGTAGATTGGTCTGCTACTGTTAGGGTCAAGAAAGGCCACTGTAAACAAAAATGCTTGAATTTAGAGAGCGCTGGACCAACCAAACTAAATAAAACAACAGCCTCTACCATACATAATTCAGTGTATTCCCTTATTTAATTTTTTGTTAGGAGTTACATTTATATGTTCACTGGTTATCTCCTCTACAGTGTAATCCTTGAAGGCAGAGGCAGATTTGATGGAAAGTGTATGTTGGTTGACCATTGATGAATGTACAGATGTTAGCATTAGATAGTTGGAATATACCCAGTGTAAAGAACTGTGGTTAACGTTCAGAGGTGAGAGAATTGCACCCGAGTGGGGATTTGAGATATCAAGGCATATTCAGGAAGTTTCTTTCTTAGACTGATGCAAGTTCCACTGAAGAGCTGTTCTTAAAGTTGTTTGAATAACTGTTCTTAGTTGATCAGAGATGCTTCTGTTCTTCTCATTTTTGCTATCTTTGCTAAAGCTTTTAGAGAAGTAAATTATTATTTCCACTATCAGTTTGGATACGGTGTCAATCTAGAGAAATACAAAGATAATATCAATATAGAGGTTTCCCTTACTAGGGCCACTTGAAATATGCTTAAAGTCATTACCACCTAAATGATGTTTCATCCTTGAAAATGGGGCACTTTTGCAACAATGGAATCTCAAAATAACACCAAGTACATTGCTGTACCGACTGGAATTTTTTTTAAGTGTTTCCCAGTTTTTCACAGTAATCATCACTGTAATGGCATCCTATTCACTTGGAAATCAGACTTGATACCCAAAAGTTGAAGTTCTTACTTTTTTCCCTCCCTGTGGACCCTCCAAGTCCTTCAGGGAAAATAGTTGGCTTACTGCCACCCAATCTTTGCCTCCGCTTTTTCCTGCTGTTGCCCAGAAGTTAAAGATTCTTTACTCTCCTAGGCTTTCTCCAGTCCTAACAGCTAAAGTTGTCAACTCTGTCTCTTGTAATAAATGCCTCATCATTCTTCAGTGGTCTTGCCAGGGTCTTTCTAAAGTGGGGAGCCCAGAAGTGATCCTATAATCCCTTTGCTTGAAAATAGTGCACCTGTTGTCTTCCTCTCTTGACTAATGTACGTCTACCAAAGTGGCACATGAGAGCAGTTTTGCTCTGTTTTTTTAAGGTTAGGTTTTAATTCATTGTGCTTCTGGTCAGTTAATGTTCCCCCTTTTCATTTGCTTATTTATTTGCTTACACTCTGGCCAATGCACTTCTCTCTATTACACATTGTTTAGTTGGAAGTATGTTGTTTAGTTGCTAAGTCATGTCCAGCTCTTTTGTGACCCCAATAGACTGTAGCCCACAGGATTTCCCAGGCAAGAGTACTGCAGCGGGTTGCCATTTTATTATCCAGGTGATCTTCCCAACCCGGGGGTTGAACCCAAGTCTCCTGCTTGGCAGGCGGGTTCCTTACCGCTGAGCCACCAGAGAAGCCCCTTCGTTGAAGCATAAAAATACTTAAATAAGAATC